ATTCCATTTACTTTGGCCTGCATACAAGTCTGGATAAAGATTTCAGTCAAAACACCTCTTCACATCATAGAGCAGTCTTAAAATGGTACACAGAGATAACACAGCAAGACGACATTAAAAGTTACACACTTAAAGTATGCTGATGGTTATTTACAGGCTTAGCAGAGCAACCTCAGGGAAAGCAGATCATTGAGCAAAACAAGTAAAAATACATGCTCCAACTGCAGTATCCACATGCAAATATTGACATTGAAAAAGCCTCAGAAAACCCAGAAGTAAGGAAACTCGCATAGGAAACTTTGCCACCAACCCCTTCCCAGTGCAAGAACCTAGAGGAGATCTTGACGTAAAGGTGAGCAGAGGTCTAAATAGCAAATGCACAGCAGCAAGTACATTTATTATTTATACCAGAATCACAAACCCAAAATTTAGTGTCACTCACCACAAGACTCAAAATCAGTATCAAAAACTGTAGTGAAAAGAACAGAAAGGATCTCAAAGAGTTCAATACTGACTGGAAAATGTGAATTTCATAATATAGAACCACAGAGTAAAATTTTTTACTTGGAAAGGTGCAAGATAAAACAGAGTATTAGTACAGGAAAAAAATCCAAGATCCTCTCAAGCATCTCTGATATGGCTGTTCACTAAAGGTGGTTCTTTTATTTCTGCAATTCTGTAACTATGTTTGTAAACAAATTTCTTTAACCGAAAAGCATTAATGAGTAACAGATACAGTACTTAAACACAAGAAGCAAGCCTGAGACCAACATCATCCTGACGTAAAATACTTTCTTATATTTAAAATTTTATCACAGACTCCAAAATGCATTAGGAAAGGCTTTGCATCTTATGAGTCCTGAAAATTTTCCAGGAGACTACTTTCCAACATAAGAACTACCACATCGAACAGAGCCTGAAAAGTTTTACCACAAGGTTGTGAATTTCTTCAGAGAACCGGTTTAGTCTTGTATTACCCTAACCTACCCAGAAAAAATGGAACAAAGCCATTGCTTAAGGTTTTTCATAGCGTTTTTCCATATTAATATAGTCAATAGGACTACAGAAATCCTTTTGTCTCAATTTAATGTAGATTTTATTTTACCAGTTCATAAATATTAACCCATACATGGGAACAAATCTAAGAGGAGCTGGGAACTAAAGAATAACCTAATATTGTTATATATTCCCTTCCCCCACCTTAAGTAATTTCACCAATACTCCACTGTTTTAAAATCATCCTGCCATCAAATGCAAGCTGTTTGGGAACATAAGAAAAGGGAAGGGAACAGACAGTCAAAAGGGAGCTTTGTTTTTAAAAATTTCTGTAATTACGTCCAATCCATGGGGTGAATGATACTCATTAACCATTGAGCTTCCTGCCCGATAATCCAGAATTCTTCAACTCCATGGCTCAGCTGAGCCACAGGAATCCTGACTCAGGCATCCTCTTCCAGGACACCCAGGCCTCTGATCTTCAATTGGACTATGCGGTATTTATGTCCAAAATTGTACCACTTGTGGAAATAGAATAGATGAAAAGGCCCGATAACTTATTCTCTGCCAGTTCGGGCCCTGACCTGCTCAGCAGTGGCTGAGAACATTCAGCAGCTGCACGGCGCAGTTGCGCTGCGAGCAACTGGTGTGATGTTCCAGCCAGACCAGAAAGAGAAAGAAAAACTTTTTTGGATAAAGATACAGATATTATTTTAAGAAGAACTGCATAAAAACCAGAGCAAGCATATTAACAGCCTTATTAAAAAATAAATACTTCTACAAAACAGTCTATCAATGCCTTGGACCTCCTTAGAGCATAACATAACCAAGACGATCTGATGCAGAAGGGAGGATCTGTTACTGTATATGGCTCAGTTGCTGGTATATATGATCACCTATTACCAATGCTTTAAAAACTGCTTTTACATCCCCCAAAAAAGTTAGAATCCAGAAGAGATATCGACAATTTGCATTCCAAGAAAGTATCCATGCAGAACAAGGCTTTAATGCTTGCTGTTGGATATCTACACCTCCAATCTAGGAGTCATGTGTATTTAAAATCAAAATGGTCCAGCTATGTCCTCATGTGCACAATATTAATACATCAGCCTTGGACTGTAATATGAGTACAACAGTTCATTGCACAGATCCCCAGTTACTCCAACCACATCTTCTACAGAAGACTTGAGTTTTACTCCATCCAAAGTGGAACACTGTCAAACTCCTTCAATCGATATCCTATAGTCACTGTTCTTATACACCCCAATTTGCCAGGTGCCCGCCCTCAGCCAGCAGGAAGACAGACAGCTGTACAGTACAAACCAGCAGTACCACATTTCCATCAAAAATCAAACCCAAATGTCAGCTTAGGTGTTTCCACTGCTCACAGTCTGTGACTAAAAGAAGCAAAAACTTAAAAGATTTCCAAAATCCTGTGAATTCACTGTAAATAAGTATAGCACGCGTGTGTTCTTCGTAAGACACTGCTTATCTAAATAAGTGATGCTGTGCCTAGCCTCCATTTCTAAACATCCTAGGACAAATAATTTGCAAAAAAAATTACAAACGGAGGATAAAAAATAGCGGTTGGCTTTTCAAATCCTTCCTTTTCTTTCCTTCATTTAATTTGCTTACCTGACATCAGTTTAACAACAGTTACCTAGGGCCTGTCATTCTCCCACACTAATATCATTAAGGGAAGGGAGCCTAACATCTCTATTAAACAGGAATAAAGCAAAGTCTCCCACATGTAATGCCTCTAAGTCAACCAGGCATTACTGAAATTACTTAATCTGCAAAGTCAGTACTTACCCACCCTACTTTACCACTACCAATCACTTCACAAGAGTAGTAGCATTATCCAGGCGCATTTCAAAGCTTAATTTTAAGATTTGTTTCCAGTGTACTATTTCAGCGAGGGTGAAGTGGAACTACAGAATTAGTGTCAGCCTGATTTTCAACTGCATTACATTTGGCCACTTCCAAAACAAATATACACAGGAAAAGAAATATAATATAAAATCAAAACACTTGCAATTAAATTATTACTCTCCCAAAACAGAGCATTACTTACCTGCTATTGTGTATGTTCTAAATATATATGTATAGGCTTTCTTCTTCTCCCTACCACCTACCCTGGGAATTCTCATACTAAGCCACACTTAATTACCTAAGCACGTTGACATGTATAGGTTTCTGGAAGACTAAAATGTATATTCTTCCAAATCACAGACATATCAGATAGTTATTAAGTCTAAGCAAGGGATGAAAAAGAGCTTTTGTGAGAAAAGAAAAAAAGATAATACTCCCACTATAGATTATTTAATTTCCATTATTTGAGAAGGAAAACTAGAAGCATCATGAGAATCTTATATTCTTGATTCAATCATTTTCAAATAACAGCACAGGACCTAACAGAAGAGATCCCACATTATAATAAATAATACAAATGTATAGCAGCTACTGAGGTTAGCTCCTGGTTTTATAGCATTTAATCTTTGTATTTTAATAGTTTGCTGGTTATTTTAATACACTGACTCATGTACGAACTTTGTTTAATCCATGTATACAAAGTTCATGTTTTTATTAAAACTCACTACAAGCAGCTGAACCCGAAGTTTCTTAGCAACAATATCTTCAGAACTGAGACGTTTTCTGCCATTACAGTCAGATTTGTTTCTTTTCTTAAATGCCCTAATAAACTAAATGCATTCTTTTTAAAAGTCTTGAACTATGTAGAACAGACAAGGGATGTTACATTGCAGTGTCTCGACATGAACAAATCATCCCAAACTTTTAAGTATTTCCAAAGAGTAGAACCTATGGTTCAAGCTGGTGATGCAATGGCCTTAAAGAGGATTTAGATGACCCAGGCAGTGTTTTCCAACTCACCCATTTGCTTCTTTCAAACTTAATATTCACTTTGTTTGGCCAGCAGATATAGATGATAAACTCAAGCTGGCAAAGGGAAGGGGGTGGAGGGGAAGGACAGACAAACGTCTTCTAACAAAAGGAAAGGAGTAGAGGGAGAGATTTGTTATTTGTTATTTTCAGAAGACTGAATCATGATGGTCATCTGTAGTGTAGGCCACAATAAAGCTGAAATGGTTTTTCTTCACAAACATCACTTCAATGAGTCTCACATTTTTTTGGCTATTTGAAAACTAGATTTTTAGCACACTTTGAGGAAAAAAACCCCAAAACACTGCACCTCTTACTCTAGATTTCATAAGCTTTGTATCTTTCCATATTATTAACAGATATATTTGGATACATGTAAATGTTCAGCAAATTTCTATCAATGTTCAGTACTCTGAAATTGTATCGTAATATTCAAAAAGCAATGATACATTTAAAAAGGAAAGATACCACATTCACGACATCTAAAACCACAGAAGAGAGACATTGTTAGGCACTCAGGTCTAAACAAAGTTGAAGGTAACAGCGGTTACAAAGGAGGTTTGGTGACAGATTGGTTATTCTAAACATTCTCTGGATTCTCCTGACCCTTTCCTCAAAACTCTGCTACCTGGCTCAAAACTGCTGCTAACCTAGGTTCTCACTGGTTTCATCAGCAGATGAAACAAAGAGGAAAACCCCAAGTAGCAGCCCAGCCGAGGCAGGCATGTTATCACTGCCTACAGTCACCAAGCAACAGGTCCACGAATATGCAAACCTAAAAAAGGGAGAATTTTAGTCTACTGGAAGATACACAGTAATCATGAGATAGCCAGGTAACCAAATGGCAAACTACTATCTGACAGCCTTGAAAACCTTTCCATGTAAACTGCTTTTAAGCCAACTTGTAATAAATACCACATGCAGCTAAATTGAAAAAAAAAAAAATCCTAAGCCAAGTTAAATAGTAACCAACGTTCAAATTTAACCATATAAAGCCTACATTAATATCCAAAATGACAGTTACAAAATATTATATTACTATGAACACTGTCAAATGCTTTGAATAATAGTACACTAAGGAAATAAGTAAAAACACACTTTACCTTGTATCTCATTTTGGGGCATGAATGAATGTAGAAACCCATATAATAAAAACAGAGATCGGGAGCTTTTTCATGAAGTTGCCTAGTAAAAGCAATTTCCCTGTGAAAGGAAAGAAGAGACTAATTACTTTTGAATACAATTCTTGCATTCATTTTACCTCTTTATATTAAAATATTTTACAGCGACCCGGCTCTTGGCCTATTTAAAGGACTAGAGTTCTATCAAACAAAAAATGAAGATAATAAACTCAAAATTAATGCTTAAAAACTCCACAAAGATAATAAACTGAAAATTAACATTTAAAAATCAAACAATCAAATCACCAAAATGCAAAACAGCATGTCAGGCTTAAAAATACTTTCATTTTTGTGTTTTGTCCTGCCAACTGAATGACTTGACATTCAAATAAAAGTGACTAAGGGCCTTTATTTAACAGATTTCTTGTTAATATTCATATACATAGGAATTGTACAGAAATCTGGCCCAGCTGTTGTACACAGACTGGCTAATGTGGCTCAGGAAAACATCAGAGTATTTTTAAAAAACAAGATTGAAGTATAAGCCTCTTGTTTGTTCTCTTACTTGCATTCTAGCAATTTAAACGTAAAAGCAACGTCTTTACGCAACAAAAGGTATTTTTTACCTATCTCATGTTTTGTATGATCTTCTCATTTATTCCGGAAGAGATGTGTCAACAGATTCCAAAATAACTTTGTTTTTATTTTGCTGGCACAAGGAAAATAGTATTACTACAAAGATTCTGCCAGTGTTTCCACTATCATGCTCATTTTTACAGCATTTGTAACTTTGCAGTTCACACTTGTACCAGATTTTATAAAGATTCTTACTTTCAATGTCGAAGGACAAGAGGATGTGAGCACGAGAATATAGGAAGCATGTACAAATACTGGGTCTTTAATCACTTAATATTAAGTTAGTAATGAAGATGTTTAACTACACTGAAATCCTAGTATTTCAGTTGCATGTAGTTTGCTGAGACCATCATGGGTCTGTGATAACATCCATTCCAAGAGGAGAATGTCTAGAATTAAGTTACTCCATATCCGAAAATCCAGGTAAATACAACAGATTCCAGAAATGAGATTTATGTACTCCAAAAAATCATGCACTTCATATGTATAATCTTTAAGACATGGCATAAAGTTAGACAACCTTACTGTTTCATGCAGATTATCCTGGACTTAATTAAACAAATACCTTTCTGCAGTTCAAAAAGCTGGAACATGACAGGAAAAAAACGTTATCTTTGCATTTCAAAATCTCTTAAACACTCTTTACACTTGGACTACACAGTGTGATTTACTAAAACAAAAAGACTCAAAGTGAAATAAATAGACCATAATGTAATGAGGTAAAAAACTGCTGCGGCAGCAGTCTTACCATGGGGCCACAAAGCCTTGTGCACGTGCACATGATACCAAAGCTAGCTCGCTGCATCTTTGCACGTACAACAGTCTCCAGTGATACGCCCTAGGTAAGGACTCTTAACTCAAGTTCTTGCTCTACCTTTCATTTATCTATTTGGCCAACCCCACTCCAGGCAAAGCTTTACTGGGGGAATGCTAAAGCATCCTTCTCCTCCCTCTATCCAGAAGTGTGTGCTGTGATCCAATGCAAGAGAATCCTCTGACTCCATCGTTTTAAACCAGGAGCAGCAATCTGGTGTCACTGTAATGCGTAATTCGCACCTACCTGCATTCATTCTGCCTAAATTCCTATGGAAAACGGACTACAGACTTGCAATTCCCTTTCTGTAAAGCTTTCAGTTACAGTACATATCTAAAGAGTTATAACGGCTGTTAGCGCTTGGCAAGAGTAGTCAACTAGTGAGAAAGACATATATTCATTTAATCAGTATAAAATTCAGACTTAGTATTTCAGTGCTACATAACGCAATTCCAGAAGAAGTTCAAGTACTTGTCCCCTTCCAAAATAGAGATTATGGGTACTACGCTTCATGATTATGGATACTACTATTCATGATTTTAGGTAGTAGGGGGAAGGTTTAACTTTTTCCTGCAAATAAGAATCACTCAGTATTTCTTGACGATTTTTTTTTCCTTTGGTTAAGACTGATATTTCACAAGTAGCTGCTTCTCCCCTCATTCTTTACTTCCGTGCCTACATATTTCAAATGATCTTCAAATCCCATCCTTTCTACGACTCAGCAGCAAAAATTCTCAAAGTAGCATGAAGTGGAAGTGACAGCACCGCAATGCAGTTTAACCTCCTCGGAGTAAAATTGGCAACAGCTTTGAAGGTATCAGATTCCTTTGCAACTTCCTAAATCCTCCGTAACTCTCAAGGTTTTTTATCCCCTCTTTGAAAGAAGAACAAGGTTGGCTCCCTCTAAGACTGTTGGGAACTCATTTTTATTGCCTTAAATGCTGCAGAATTTATAAGCTGCTTTTTCACTAGTTGAGCCATGCACACATGTTGCACTGACAAAGTCTTAAATTTATTATGTAGAAAATTTAAAATCACTTCAAGAATTCATAAGCATGGATTATGTCAGTCTATTATTACATAAAGTAATGTGATATGCACAAATACTAAAAAACAACTCTTAGGAGGACTCAGTATTTTATGTTATATGCTCACCTTACATGGAAAAAATAATAATCGATCTAATTTCAAGTATCTAGCATATCTAATAAAATACTTCTAAAAATCTGGACCACTAATAGGCATAAAAAAGATCAATTCTAAACCATAGGAGTTCCAACATTTTTTCTCCATTTGTTAATTCTGATCAATGTTATAAAATCGCCAGCACCACTGAATGCCTCAGAAAAATGACAATTCAGACTCTTTTAGACATAGACCACTGGAGATGCTACAGCGACAGCTACCTTAATGCTCATGGCGACTTTGAAGTTAGTCCTGATTTGCACTGGAACTGGCCCAGATGACCTCCAGAGGTCCCTTCTGACCTATTCTCTTCTATGATTCCACAGTTTCTGCTGCATAAAGAACCATTCTAGAACAAGATAGGGAGAGCCAACTGGAAGGCAATGTTATCAGCTCTTATTAAAGGTGACATACTTGGAGAAACTGCACTTTAGGACTTCACTGATCTAAGAGCGTACCAGAGCGCAGGAGGAGGTCCTGCTCTCTTGCTACCCAGTCATTCTCAGCTGCACGTCGTGGCTCTGTCACAACTTTTGCACCAGCTCTGGTGTTAACAGATTCTTCACCGAGCCAACACAGCTGACTTACCAGGTTGCTAAAGCAAACAGTCTTCTGCTCAGTAAATTAAACTGGCTCAATGTATGGTTGCTAGAGGCCCAGCATATAGCAGAGATGGAGAGGAGTGATTGCAGCACCTCATTTCAGCAGCAATAAACCACTAGACTGATGTCAGCAACTTAACAGTGAACTTTGTGGGGAACATATGCATTTGAGCAACTTATGTAAAGATTATTTAAAAATCACAAAATTCACCACTGGAAGAGAAGAATATACCCAAAAGGAAAGTAAAAAGAAAAAAGATTCTTAGGAAATCAAAATATCCTAATCAAAATCTAAACAAATTATGAGCAATTAGACTTCTGAGCAATTAAATTGCACATGGTTTATTAGTTATCACAAATATATAGAGAGTAACTGTGACAAGAAGAGGTTTCCTGAAAATAGCATTTGTGCTTTACGTATTTCTAAAGGCATGCCTTATTTACCCACCCTGGTGGGTAACACTAAACAGTAGCTGAGAAACTCCACCTATAGAGAAGATGCCTCTCAACAGGGTGCCTTAGAGAAAGAAGAAAGCTGGATCTCACAAATCTAGTGCTGC